GGTGGGATGAGTGATCACAGACCTTATGTCTAGGGTTGCAGACCTTCATTCAATATTTTTAAAAATCCAAAATTTATGATAAAGTACAGAATTAAATTCAATTAAAACTAGAAGCCATCCCTTAACTACAAAAGTAATAAATTTTCCCTAATAAAAAAAGATTTATTTTAAATCCTGGATTTCAAGCTCTTGAAAAGGATCACTATAAAATTTATTCACCTTTTCCTCATTTCTTGTTTTCTCTACACCTTGTTAAAAATGGGGAACAAAATATTTTCCTTTTTGTGTTGTGCAGCAATCCAGGACATGTTCTTGCAAGGGCCTGACAAATATTTTTGAAAAATAGATCATGGAAGAAATTACTTTTGTCAAGTAAGCAGATTTAATTAGAAATACATTTTTGAAATAATTTATTAAAAAGTTGAGGCAAAAAGTGGCCCATAAAAATATTGTGACTGAAAAGATAGGTGAAGATTTAATTTCCAAAATATATATCATATATAAACATCCACATGGGAACAGCTAGTGTTCAATGGAAAAAAATGAACCAGGAACAGGAAAAGAGGAAATATAAACAGAACATGATCACCTGGCAATTAGCCTAGCTAACAACTCTAAACCCCACAAACTTTAATAGCTTAATGTTATTAAGACACACAGATAATACTTGTTACAAAAATAAGTTTAAAAAGGAAAACCTAAAGTTGTTAGAGGTAAAGAAATAGGTATACTTAAATTCCCAAAGGGACAGCAAATTGCTAACAGGAACTGAAGAAAGATATCAAAAATGGTATCATGTAAAAATATGGAAAAATGATCTCATCCCACACTAGAAGAGGAAGGCTATAGATAGAACCTTTGGGAACACCCACATTTAAACAAGATGGACCAGCTGAGTAGACTGAGGTCAAACAAGCAGACAGAGGAGGAGGCTATGAGAGAAAGACTTTTAACCAAGGGAGAAAAGAGTGTCAACAAAGAAACAATAGTCATTAGTGCAAATGTCACAAAAGGAGCAAATAAGAACCAAAAAGTGTTAGTTTTAATTTGGCAATTAGAAAATCATGGTGACCTCAGAAAGAACACTATCAGTGATGAGGGCAAAAGCCTAGATTATAACACAAGCCTTTCTCTTAACATAATATACGCATCCTAGAAAAACTGCACACTAAAAATTACAGGGCTTTAGGGAAAAAGAGGGTTGGGATAGATCACTCAAAACCTGTGCATTGGGTAATGGGGAATGGCTGCTAATGGGTATGGGGTTTCTTTCCCGTTTGTTGAAAATGTTCTAAAAATTAGGTTGTGAGGATGGTTGCACAATTCTGTGAACACACTAAAAACCACTGAATTGTATACTTTAAATAGGTGAATTTTATGACATGTGAAATACATCTCAATAAGGCTATTCTTAAAAAATTCTATTACAGAATGAGTAGATCAGAGCAGGCTCGGACAGAGGAAAGCTCACAACCACAGACAGCTCAGAGCCATCATCCTTCAAGTCTGTAAACACTAGGAACTGAAAAAGGAAAAACCCAACATTTGTGGAGTGCCTGATTTGTGCCAGTCACTGTGTAAGGACCTTTATATACATTATTTCATGGTATCCTCACAACCACTCTGTTATCCCCACTTAACAAATAGGAAACTTGAGACTTAACTAAGCCAACGTCACATAGCTATTAAATTGCAGAGCCAAAATCCAAACACGCTCAGATCTGATTTCAAAGCCTCCTGTTGCTTTCCACTGTATCATACTAAATTTATTCATGGGAGGTCTTTTTCTAGGCCTTATGAAACATAAATTGAATTTTTCCTAAAAACTTGTACCTAAAAACACACTCATAGAATGTTAGTACTAAAACAAAAATCACAAAGACCTATGCTGGAAATAGAATATTTAATAATAATACAACTGCAATTGCATTGGGGGAGGTAACTTGTTTTATTCAAGCAGGTAACTCAGTGTAGCAGGAGACTAGTATAGACGATATAAAAAATGAATTAAAGCAATAGAACAGAAATACATGCAACATTTAATTAGACTGGGGTAGGCACGTGCTGAGACCATGCAGGTGGAAGCGGAGCTCTGAGGCCGTGGCTGCTGAGGCAATGCAACCCGCCACAGGCTGAGGGCTGCATCTCCCTCAGGAGGGATCTCTCGATGCAGGTGTG